TCCTGCTGCGGGGTTGCCCAAGGAGAGTGAAATGTGGGACTATTTACAGAGCTGCAGGTGGGGTGAGGGAATGACAGGGACTGGTGAGGTGCCCAGAGATCAGCAACTGCCAGAAGCCATTACCCTTCCTGAAGGGCAAGGGACAGAATGTGGTACCACACCAGCCTGAGGAGGGCTGCCAGACTGGAGGTGCTTCTGTAGAACAAACCAGAACCCCAGCGAAGGGATCTGGGCTGCAGGGCCGAGGAGGCTGCTCTCTCCCACCTCTGATCTGACAGCGCTCCTCATTGGCTGAAGCCAGCTGGAAGCCACAGAGCCAGAGAGCCCAAGGTAACCCGTCCATGGAAAGCAGCCTCCTGAGGACCGGAATGGGACACAGAAGGACAGAAAATGGGGTGAACGGAGAGAGAGAGAAGGGGGTGAGGGTGGTCAGAAAGCAACAGAGAACAGCCCAGCAGTGATAGGACTGCCTTTTTTAAAAAAAACTTATTATCCTTTTGTATTTTATTTAACTTGGGGCCGTGGGTGGTGTGATAAGGGTGCTGGGCTCCCACATGGCCAACCATGGTTTGAGTCCCACGCCTGGCGACTTTCTTTCTCACTTCCTCTCTCTCTCTCTCTGAACCTCTCTGGTCAAATTAAAATAAGTAAACAAAATAATTCTTAAAAATTTTTATCTAACTTTATTTAATTAATTAATTTACTTATTTTTATTTGACCGGAGAGTGGGCCACTCCCACATGGTTGACCACAGTTCGAGTTTCAGACCTGGTGGCTTGCTTTCTCACTTTCCTTCTCTCTGTGTGTCTTTCTGTGGTCAAATGAAAATAAATGAATGAATAAATAAAATTAAATAAATAATTCTTTTTAAAAAATTGACCAGAGAGTGACAGAGTGAGGGAGAGAGGGAAAGTAAACAAGCAAGCCACCAGGTCCGGGACTTGAACCACAGTTAGCCATATGATGTCCATCCAGCACCCTTAACCACCATGCCACCTGAGCGCCCCAGGACTGCCTTTAACAGATAAGGAAACTAAGGGGTGGAGAGGGCAAGGCATTTGTCCAACTGGTGACAGAGGCAGAACCCACAGCCCCCGTGTCCTGAATGAAGAAGATGGAGCAAACCCCACACATCCTTTATTGTCATGGCGCAGTGCGCTGCAGGCGTCAGCCCCTAAATGGTCTGCAGAGACCGGTTTGGTCCAGTAACCGTCCTCCACCTTGCGTTGCAGGTTGCCGTCTCCAACCTCAGCGAGGCCGTGCAGGACGCAGACCTGCTGGTGTTTGTCATCCCCCACCAGTTCATCCACAGGATCTGTGATGAGATCACCGGGAGAGTGCCCAAGGGAGCTCTGGGAATTACCCTCATCAAGGTAACTCGGTGCCCACCCTGATGGCCGCGGGGGACACGGCACCAGCAGTGCTTCCCAGGAAACTGCATTGCCTCTCATTTTAATCCGCATGAGGGGTGGGGCTGAAAGGGAGGTTGTGGCCTTTTTTGTCTGTTTGTGTTTTTAAAGATGCCTGAAAGGTAATAAACTGCACACCCCACAAGCCTGGTTTAGCTGCATTTCGAGATTGAGCTGCGTTGGGCCATGGCAAGTTGGCCACAGTGGTGATGTGAGGACAGGCTTCTCCTGAGGAACGGTGCTGTTGAACCTTCCAGTCCCCTCTGCGGGGGTCAGCCTGAGGTCTGGAAGTCACCAGAGATTTACCTGAGCTGGGAAATTAATCACCAGTAGTTTCCATCCCCAGGCATATACCCTAAAGTTGTCATTTTAACCAGAAGTCTGCAAACCACCCATAAAGTCTATAGCTAGAATTCAGGATATCCATACACATAAATGTAGGGGGGAAACTTGCATTTTATTCCAGATTTTTTTTTTGCTATGGGGTACGTGCACTCACTGGAGAGACAGAGACAGAAAGCAAGAAATCAACCCCCCCTCCCCGGGAGGTGGCCATACCGCAATGCCTTCTCCTCCATTCTCCTCTCAGGATTTTGGGCACACACACATATGTGCCTGGCGTGAGTTTTAAGCTGCCGCGTCCAGGATTTAAACCATAGTCGACTACTTGGGAGCCCAGTGACTTAGCCACTATGCCATTGCTGGTCCCACCTGTTTATTTATTTTAACTTCTATGGAAAATGAGCATTTCCTTCTGCCAGGAATGTAGGCTTCAGCCAGAGTTTCTATACGGTACCATAGGCCCTGCCGTCCCTACTGTTGACAGAAGTCGCTGGGACTTTTATTGCACTGATAGGAGTTCTCATGAATCCCAAGGTAGTCATTTCTGCTCACTCCTACTTGGAAACTGAGGTGATTATTAGACCTGCTACATCTCTGGTGGGGGTCTCTGGCCTGAGAACCCACCTTCTCTTTACTTACAAATGCTAGTATTTGGATCCTCATTGGTTTCAGTGAGATCCAAAAATTAGAACAGGAATGACCCCTAGTTACACATGAATAAGCCAAGCCTTAGAGAATAGGTCACTTTCCCCAAGATCAGATAACATCTTTTTCTAACTGTGTTAATAAAAAGAGTGCATATATGGTTTTATCATCTTTTTTTTTTTTTAAGAGATTTTTGCTATAGGGCCCATGTGCTCACTGGAGAGACAGAGAGACAGAAAACGAGAAATCACCCCCCGGGAGGATGACCACGCCGCAATTCGTTCTCATCCATTCTCTTCTCAGGATCTTGAGCACATGTAGACATGTGCCTGGCCTGAGGTTTAAGCCACCAGGTCCAAGACTCAAACTATAGTCAACTATGTCAGAGTCCAGCAACGTAACCCTTACTCCATCTGCTGGTCCCTGCCCCTCTTTATCATCAATTTTACAAGTATTTTGGTAACTGTGTTTCAGTAAAGTTGACTTCAGTAAAATTGACTTCCTAGGTAATCTTAACTTTTTTTGTTTTATGCATATGATATTCTGATAATGAGTCCATAACGTTCACACTGCCAGGGGTGGGGTCCATGTCATCAAAAATCTAAGACTCCCATAGGGAGACTGTTCAAGGATGTTCATAAATGAATGTGTATGGAAGCAAACGAGAGCAACCCAAATGTCAGTCAGCAATAGTTGGGGAAGTTTATTTTGGAATACTACGCAACAATGAACAGGAACAAAATAGACATTCACACAGCTGCATGGATGAGTCCCCTTTTTTTTTTTTAAAGAATCACTTTATTTAACTTTATTTATCATTATTATTATTTTCCAATTTGACCAGAGAGAGAGAGAGAAAGTGAGAAAGGAAATCACCAGGTCTGGGATTTGAACCATGGTCGGCCATGTGGGAGTCCAGCACCCTCCACCAGCCCCTGCATGGGTGACTGTAATAGCATTGTACCAACCAGCATGGCCCAGATGAACAGGACAGATACTTTACAGGCTCAAAAACTTTATTTATCATTATTATTATTTTCCAATTTGACCAGAGAGAGAGAGAGAAAGTGAGAAAGGAAATCACCAGGTCTGGGATTTGAACCATGGTCGGCCATGTGGGAGTCCAGCACCCTCCACCAGCCCCTGCATGGGTGACTGTAATAGCATTGTACCAACCAGCATGGCCCAGATGAACAGGACAGATACTTTACAGGCTCAAAAACAAGCATCATGATACAACTTGCTATTAAGGGAGCGATGCATACAGCACCAGGGATAATGCTTCCTCCTGGAGAGAAGGAAGGTGGAGGGAGGATGAACTCAGGGAGAGACACACGGGTTTTCAGTGGTATCAGTCAAGTTCTGTATCTTACCCTGGCTGCTGGGTACATGTTCATTTTACGCTTTTCATCTCGTTACCTTTAAACAGTACATATGTGGACTATATGTCTACTCTTCTTTAAGAGGTATCTTTCAGTTTGCACCTGCGGTTGGCTGTCTGAATCTAGATGACTTATAAAGCAATGATCTTGGGTCTCTTCTCATTGACGGCTTGCTTTTCCCTAACTTCCCGACTCCTTGGCAGGGCATAGATGAGGGCCCCGAGGGCCTGAAGCTCATTTCCGACATCATCCGTGAGAAGATGGGCATTGACATCAGCGTGCTGATGGGCGCCAACATCGCCAACGAGGTGGCCGCGGAGAAGTTCTGTGAGACCACCATCGGTAAGGGCTGCCAGGAGGGGCACCGGCGCCTGGGCGCTTGGTGTTTTTACCTGGGCATTTTCCATTTCTAGTATTTCCTGTAGGGGACTCTTTAATGCCTCTCTTATCATTCCTGAGCTGGGCGTTTGGGGGAGTGGAGATTTTATGTCAGGAGCCCAGTCTGTGGAACTGAAGTTTCAACAATCTCCAGAATGAATGTGAAGCCAAGGGGGTCATTCTGACTCTCCCAGATGCAATAATGAATCATCCTTTTTGTGTTTACACCAAAAGTCAGTGTCGTTAGACCTGTGGCAGGAGACCCCTGGCCTTAGAATCCTGTTTTCCTTTCTGTTTTTTTCTTTGATTATTGTTTTTATTGTCAAAGAGAGAAAGAATGTACCCCCCAATGGGGCATGGTCATGTCTCTATGCCCTTTTCGCCCTTTCTTCATCCCTTCAGGATCTAAGGCGCACGCACACCCACACACACACACACACATGCTCCCAGTTTCTGAGACTGGGATTCAAACTGTCATCTGCCATGAGGGATCCAGTTGCCAATACCCAGCACTTAACCATGGTTCTATGGGCTGGCCAGAACCCAGCTTTTCTTTTTTTTTTCTTTTTTATTTATTTTATTTTTTCTTCTTTTTAAGTTTTTGCTATAGGGAGCATGTACTCACTAGCGAGAGAGAGCGAGAGACAGATGGAGACAGACAGAGAGGGAAAGTGAGAAATCACCCTCCAGGGAGGATGGCCGCACCAATTCCTTCTCCATTCTCCTGTCGGGATTTTGGGCATGCATGCCTGGTGTGATTTTTCAAACCACCAGGTCTAGGACTCGATCCACAGTCAGCCATGTGGGAGTCCACTTCCTTAACCACCACACCATCTGCTGGCCCAGAGCCCAGCTTTTCTTTACTCACAAATCCCCATTGATTCCAGTGAAACCTTGAATTTAGTGGGAATAAGCTCCAATTTCAGGTGAATAAGCCCATTGCTCAGAGAACTCAATTACCTGCCGCAAGATCAGACCTTAATATGAAACCCAAGCATGAATGTGGGCTTCCTGTTTCTTAAAATAGAAAGGTTTTCCCGCTCTTTTATTTTTTTTTAATAAAAAGAATTATTTTTAAAATTGTATTTCTTGTTATTATTATTACTATTAAGTTTGGCCAGAGAGAGAAAGAGAAAAAGTGAAAAAGCAAACCTCCAGGTTCGGTACTCAAACCACAGTCAGCCGTGTGGAGCTCCAGCGCCTTAACCACTACACCACCTGCCAGCCTCCGCTTTGCCTACATTTACGTTATGGAGTAGAGACATTATTTTTACATTGATGTGAGAATTTTTATTTTTTTAAGAGAGATTTTTGCTATAGAATACATGTGCTCACCAGAGAGACAGAGAAAGACAGAGACAGAAAGTGAGAAATCACCCCCCACCCCCCACCCGGAATGGCCACGCCCTAATCTTTTCTTCTCCGTTTCCCTCTGGAGATCTTTGGTAGGCACAAGGCCCTGCATGAGTTTTAAGCCACTGGGTCCAGGACTCAAATCTGGGAGTCCAGTGACATAGCCATTACGCCACCTGCTGGTCTCACGGACCTTGAGAATTCTGAACTACCCTTGTACCACATTAAAGGATGCATTGTTGGAAGTGTGATATTGTTGTTTTCAGATGCTTTGCAAAAGTTTTAAGTTTTAGCTACCCTTGTAGAACTTACTTCTACCTGGTCAAACATGCAGGCAGTACGAATCGTTTCTCTTTGACATTTCTCTTTGTAAAGGTGAGCCCTGAGAGAGGTCAGACTTTGTTGGCCGTGGGGGTGTACAGGATGAGGGACATCCTAATTCTTAGACTTGCTCATAAGTTAGGGCATTTTTTTAATCTTTTACACTTTCCCTTCATTTATTTTTTTTATACAGACATTTTATTTCACTATTATGAAAAGTGGAGATAGCCAAAAGAAAGCCTCGGTGGTGGGTACATGTTCATTTTAGGCTTTTTCATTTTGTTTAATAATTTTGCTATATGTCCTTTTTTTTCTGGCTATGTGTGTCAGGAACATGCGAAGCTTAAATGAATTTTGTGTTTAGGCTTTCCGTCTTCTTCCTGAACTCTCTTATTATGTGTATGCAAATATTCCCCAATCCTTAACACCTCTGGTCCCAAGCATTTTGGATGACAGATACTCAACCTGTGTTGTTCTATAATTGTTTTTCATTTCGTATGTAACCAGCAGCTTTCAAAGATTATTAACATATATTTTCATGCACAGTATTCCACTGGCAATTTTATATACTCGGACGCTTAAGGCATTTCTTTGTCAGAAATAATATATTTTGGAGAAATAATATATTTACCAAAGTGATGAAAATGCAGGTAAAAAGAAATTGAACAGTATGAGAAGGTAGAAAATGAGATTTAAAATAAGTCATTTCCCACACAATTTCCTCTTCCCAGAAGAATTCACTGCTAGCAGTTTTTAAATATCCTTCCAGAACAAAATTTGTGTGTGTATATGCTAGTACATGTATGTGTGTGTTCATATATATGAATATATTTATGTATGCACTCATGCATATATACATATTTTTCACAGTTAAGTCAGGACTCAAATCTGGGAGTCCAGTGACATAGCCATTACGCCACCTGCTGGTCTCACGGACCTTGAGAATTCTGAACTACCCTTGTACCACATTAAAGGATGCATTGTTGGAAGTGTGATATTGTTGTTTTCAGATGCTTTGCAAAAGTTTTAAGTTTTAGCTACCCTTGTAGAACTTACTTCTACCTGGTCAAACATGCAGGCAGTACGAATCGTTTCTCTTTGACATTTCTCTTTGTAAAGGTGAGCCCTGAGAGAGGTCAGACTTTGTTGGCCGTGGGGGTGTACAGGATGAGGGACATCCTAATTCTTAGACTTGCTCATAAGTTAGGGCATTTTTTTAATCTTTTACACTTTCCCTTCATTTATTTTTTTTATACAGACATTTTATTTCACTATTATGAAAAGTGGAGATAGCCAAAAGAAAGCCTCGGTGGTGGGTACATGTTCATTTTAGGCTTTTTCATTTTGTTTAATAATTTTGCTATATGTCCTTTTTTTTCTGGCTATGTGTGTCAGGAACATGCGAAGCTTAAATGAATTTTGTGTTTAGGCTTTCCGTCTTCTTCCTGAACTCTCTTATTATGTGTATGCAAATATTCCCCAATCCTTAACACCTCTGGTCCCAAGCATTTTGGATGACAGATACTCAACCTGTGTTGTTCTATAATTGTTTTTCATTTCGTATGTAACCAGCAGCTTTCAAAGATTATTAACATATATTTTCATGCACAGTATTCCACTGGCAATTTTATATACTCGGACGCTTAAGGCATTTCTTTGTCAGAAATAATATATTTTGGAGAAATAATATATTTACCAAAGTGATGAAAATGCAGGTAAAAAGAAATTGAACAGTATGAGAAGGTAGAAAATGAGATTTAAAATAAGTCATTTCCCACACAATTTCCTCTTCCCAGAAGAATTCACTGCTAGCAGTTTTTAAATATCCTTCCAGAACAAAATTTGTGTGTGTATATGCTAGTACATGTATGTGTGTGTTCATATATATGAATATATTTATGTATGCACTCATGCATATATACATATTTTTCACAGTTAAGTATTTTATTCATCTGCAATCTTTTTTTAAACAATTATTTTATTTAACTTTATTTCATTATTTTATTTATTTTAATTTGACCAGAGAAGGACAAAGTGAGAGAGAGCGAGGGAATGTGAGAAAGCAAGGCTCCAGGTCTGGAGCTCAAACCATAGTCGGCCATGTGGGAGTCCAGCACCCTTAACCACCATGCCACCTGTTGGCCCCTCTCTGCAATCTTATTGTAGCCTGTGAAAATGTTATATATTAGGTCATCAGAAAAGTCATGACACATTTTTGCATAGAAAAATACACCATGATTTTTTCTGACAACCCAATAATTACTTTTATTTTACCCCAAAGATTATCAACTAGTCCTAGCTCAATCCTATATACTGATAATCCTTGTTGAAAATGCCTGTCTGTAAAACCGAGAGTAATCTCTGGCCCCTGTTTCTCTTTCTTAAGTGTATTTATTCACTTCCCCCATGGCAGATAGCCCAACCCCTTCTCTTCCATTCTCCTCTCAGGATCTTGGGCACGCACGCATGCCTGCCTAGCGTGAGTTTAAGCCACCGGGTCCAGGACTTAAACTGCAGTTGACTACTTGGGAGTCCAGTGACATAGCCATTATGCCAACTGCTGACCCCAGCCCTGGATTATTTGACCATGGCTATTGTATCACCTCTGGCTATAATATGAATGCCTGACAGTCCTGCCTTTTTCTGCATTGGAAGTTTGTAGCTCTACTTGTGTCGTATGTCTGTTTGTCCTCTCTCTTCTCACCACTAGAAGGCAGGTTGGCATGGACAGTCAGAAGCTGGGCCCCGGAGCCAGAGCAGATAGGGGTTAGTGTATGGGCTCAACCTCCTCCTAGCTGTGATGGTGGGCCAGCAGGAGACCTCATGGCCTCTGTTTCCATGTCTGTAAGTGGAGAGAATTATAGTCATAGGCATGCATGTGCCACCTGATTCCGTCATTATTATTCGGGATCATTGAGCACTTGCTGTACCTGATTGTGTTCATACCTGATTCTTAACTAACCTCACCATAATCCTGAAAGTGCCAAGGTATTTTGCTTTGTTTTTTAAAGAATTATTTTACTTATTTATTATTTTTTTATATATATTTCATTTTTAGTTTGCTATACGGCATGTGCATTTACCACAGAGAGACAGAGAGAAAGTGAGAAAGCAAACCACCAGGTCTGGGACTCAAACCACAGTCGGCCATGTGAGAGTCCAGCGCTCCAACCGCATGCCCCCTGCTGGCCCCAGGGCCACAGTATTTTTACTCATGAGGAAACTAGGTCTAAAGGAGGTGAAATCGGAGGTTTGCAAACTTAACTGCCGTTAGAATCACCTAGGGAGCTTCACAAACTGTTGATGCCTATCCCACTGCAGAGACTATACAAACAAATGTTTAAAGTGTTTGTTGTAGGGTGTACGCACTCGCCAAAGCGAGAGAGATATGGAAAGTGAGAAATCACACCCCAGGGGTATAGCCACACAGCTCTTCTCCACTCTCAGGATTTGGGGCACACACGCACGCTGGCCTGGCATGACTTTCAAGCCACTGGGTCTGGGACTCAAACTGCTCAGTTGGCTGTGTTGATTCACCTCAACCTCTCTGCCACCTGCTGGCCCCAGAGATAGATTGTGATTTGATGGATCTGAACTGTGGTCTAGGTTTGGTGTTTTTGTTTTTATTTATTCTATGAGTGAGAGAAAGAGGGAGAAAGAGAAAGATACTGCACCCCTGACAGAGTCTCCTCTATCTGTCCCCTATCCTCTACCAGCTCAAGTCATAGGCAGAGGCCCATTATATTCAGGGAGGTCTCCAGCCTTGAACCAGAAGCCTCTCCATGTCGGTCTGCCTTGCAGAGAAATGCGTCTTAGTGAGGTGCTATGGTCAGACCCCTGGGCCAAATGCCTTTAAAATCCTTAGGTGAACATCATGTGCAGATGAGCTCAGGGGCAGCTGGTCTACCTGGAGGCAGGCAGTGCCCAGGTCTGATGGGCCACAGTGTGCTTCCTGGCATCTCTGTCTGGTGACACTGATTTGAGAGCCAGCACTTGGCTGACAAGTCTCACAGTCCTTTTCAGAACCTTCCTCGAGCTGAGACTGAGGTGGGTGGATTCACAAGCCCTTTCCTACACCCCACCAACCAGAGCAGATTCCGTATCAGGCTTTCTGCATAAGGTTTTATTTTTGTTTGTTTGCATTTGCTTTTTAACGAAAGGTCTCAAAAAAAAAAAAAAAAAAAGCGTGAAAGCTACTAAGCATCTGTCACATGTCAGGCACTGTCCCAAAGGAAGAAAATATATCTGGAGCAAAAACAAGTGCTGTTTGATTCGTTTCCATCTTCCTTAATTTAGGGAAAGCAGAGCATGAAAACCACATACACGTTATAATCCCAATTTTAAGAAAAACTATTTACATTCATTTCAGTAAATTAAAGATGTACCACAAATTGTAAATGATGATCTATAGCGGAATTGTGAGATGGTTTCATTTCTTATTTCCATTCCTATGCATTTTCTAAATTTTTCAATAACGAACATGTTACTGTTCTAATAAGAAAAAAGTTATTTTAGGGACTAGCAGTTGGCGTAATGGCTATGTCGTTGGATTCCCATGTAGTCGAACACAGTTTGAGTCCTGGACCCAGTGGCTTAAACTCAAACCAGGCACACATGCATGCATACCCAAGATCCCAAGAGGAGAATGGAGGAGAAGGGATTGCAGCATGGCCATCCTCGGAGCAGGGGGGTGATTTCTTGCTTTCTGTCTCTCTGTCTTTCTGGCAAGCACATGCACCCTATAGCAAAAACCTCTCTAAAAAAAAAAAAAGAAAAGAAAAAAGTTATTTTAAACTATTGGGTATGAAAATTAAGCTTTATGGGGACCAGCAGGTGGTTTAATGGGCTTCATCACTGGACTCCCATGGAGTTGACCGCAGTTTGAGTCCCAGACCCGGTGGCTTAAACTCACACCGGGCGGGTGTACGTGCATGCCCAAGATCCCGAGAGGAAAATGAAGGAGAAGGGATTGCGGCGTGGCCACCCCCCCCCCGGGGCGGGGGGGGGTTTCTCCATTTCTGTCTCTCTCGGTCGCTCTGGAGAGTGCACTCACCCTATAGCAAAAACCTCTCAAAAAAAAAAAAAATGAAGCTTTACAGGCTTGTTCATTTTCTTGTGTTCTAACCTTTCCACAGGCAGCAAAGTCATGGAACATGGGCTTCTCTTCAAAGAGCTTCTGCAGACCCCGAATTTCCGAATTACTGTGGTTGATGACGCGGACACCGTTGAACTCTGTGGTGCTCTGAAGGTAAAGTCAGCCTCGTCATGTCTCCCCCAGGAGAGGCGTGACCCTGAAGAATGGGCAGTGTGTGTCCCTGTACTGACTCCAGGGGAGAATAGTGAATCGGGAGCCTTGTTTATAACTTCCTGCTGCAGCAGCCTTTGGGGTGTGGGGGTGTCAAGTTCCTCTTTTACTCCGTTATCTTTTACTTATACTTATGGGAGGATTGGGATGTTTTGCCCTTTGGGGGGAAGTTGGCAGTCTAAATAAATACCTGGGGCGGATCAAGAGGACCCCGACTGTAGGGTTTTACTCAGGAGCAGATGGTTTTATTCATTCGTGTTGTCCTGAGAAGGGGCAGGAGCTTACTTCCCTAATTTATGCCACTCTACTGGTTTGATTGGCCATGTTTTTTAAAGGAATAATAGTCTGCTGCTGACAGAGAGTTTCCTAAGAATAGTTCTGTATTTGTCCTATTAGGGAAACAATCAAATGAAAGAAACAGCCTCTATTGGTCAGTGGCTTTTAAGAGTAAGATGAAGGGGCCAGCAGGTGGCGTAGTGATTACTTCGCTGGACTCCCACATGGTCGGCTGCGGCTTGAGGCCTAGACCTGGTGGCTTGAAACTCAGGATGGGCACATGTGCTGTGTGGCCAAAATCCTGAGAGGAGAATGGAAGAGAAGGGATTGCGGCATGGCCAGTTTTCCCTAAGGGTGATTTCCCACTTTCTGTCTCTCTGTCTCTCTGGCGCAAAAACAAATGCTGTTTGATTCATTTCCA